AATTTTATTTTTTTATTATTAGATAGCTATTTTTGTTTCTGAGTTGTGTTCATTTACAGGCTCAATTTTTTTCCGTTTCTCCTTTTTGATTTTATATGGGGTTTCAAGTTGTTTTTGACTTATTTCGACGTAAATCACAACAACACACTTTTTTAATAAAGCAAACAAGTGTTAAGAGGTATATGTACGTGTAAACTACAATTACAAAAAATTGATATGAAACCCATGAAACCACCAACAAAAATGTAAAGCTAGCTTCCGTACTAGAACATGGTGTCATTCGTCGAGATAATTTATCGTTTTGTTTAATAGATCAAGAAATGTAAATATTTCCCTGTTATTTTTTATAAAATTATAAGATAAATACATTTTTTTCTAAATAGTATAGTTTATTATTTTGTAGAAAAACAAAATTTCGAAAATTTTAGTAATGTTTCAGAAACAACCGTTATTAATAAAAGGTACCATTTTCCTTAATAAGGTAGAAATAAAATATAAACTATTTCCACGATTTACAAAGGCCTACAAAAAAATTAAAGGTATTTTCCGCTATCCTATAAAATTTATATTTTCTGACTCAATTTCAAAAGGTTGAAGGAATTCCAAAACACCTTTTATGGCATAATAATTATTTTCAATTCTATCATACTATCTTTAGCTGCTTTTAAAAACGTTCTAAGAAAGTCCAATCAGACCAATTTAATCCCTAAACTATTCCACACTTTTAAAATTTAATTACCTAAAAATATTAAAAACTATTTAAAATAACTTGTTTAGCAGGCTGTACAATAGCTATCTTAGTCACACGTAGCGCGTTCTCTGTCTGGGCGTCGAACACCTCTAGAAATTTGATGAACTGTACTGCCTATATCCAAATGCCACCCACATTTCACAACCATGTGATGTGGCAATATTTAAACCAGTAAAAACTGAGTGGAGAAAAGTTGTTAGAAAATATTAACAAGAAACCGGAAAATACATCACAAAAGTGTAGTTCGCTCCACTTTTTAAAGCACCACATGGTCAATTATCTACAGAAACCATCAAAAATGGATTCAAACGTGGCCAATTTCCGTTTGATCCAAACACCGTGGAATACGAAAAAAGCATTTCTGTTAGACAAAAAGAACTTAATAAACAAAAAGGTGAAGTTATAGATCTCGGCGATATTTAAGCAGCTTTAAAAGTTCTTAACAGACGATCAAAAGGATAATTTCAAAAGTTTTAAATCTTCAAACTAGTTGTATGAGGATAGTCTTTATAAGTTTCGAAATTTTTGTAATGATCATGCCCATTAAAGAATAGATAAAAGCGAAAGTTTTAATAATTTAGTTTTTACAGAAGATGATCGAGATTTAATACCAGTGTAATTCGATGATATTGCTATTTCTAATGAAGTAGTATTGTTGGATGACGAAGCTGGTTGTTCATTTTGAGCAAGTGACGATATGACAATAGCAACAACAGAAAGCACTGAACCGACTGAAACTGTGGGAATGACACATGATTTAAACATTTTGACAGACAAAAGTCTAAGTGCACTGAAAGACAATATCAATGAATGAGAAAATCGATTCAAAACATGTAATTTTGAATAGCGCTTTCGACAGAAACCACTCAGATGACCGTTGTGAGAGTAATGATATTGATATCAAAGGAACTGATAAATCAGTATTAAATCAAAATGATATCAAAATCAAAGACGATAGGTTAATGGAACATAACGAAGGCAGACATTCGCAGGAAGCTTTTAGAGTAGAGGATGTGTGTCAAATCAGAACCAAAGAAATATCTGAGATAAGTCATAATGTAATATTAGCACATACTTTGATTACTATACGAGGCAAGAAAGAGGTCCGACACGCCCAACATAGGGCGCGGCCATTTTCAACCCTGTGACACAGTTTACAGTTAAAGAATCAGATCGCTCACTCTGCGTCGGCACTTTGGATCTCAATGTTTCAGTTTATACACTGTGCAACTCGGATAATACAATATATGACAACCGCCTATAATAAAACAGCAGTCTTCTGCGTATCCTGAATTTGTATCCCTGAAGTGGATGTTATTTTGGAACTTTCAACTGGTCCGAGTGAGCTAACTGATTCTTTAGCAATAAACTGTGACTTCAAAAATAATATTCACTGACACTGACAGCAGCAAGCAAAATATCAGGTGCGTTCTAATCATCCGCTTCTGCTTCCGGAATTGTCGGTTTAGTCGTTTTAACCTGTCAGATTAAAACAAGAAAACTGACAATTCCGAAGCAGAAGCGGATGATTAAAACGCACCTATTAAAAATATTGCGCCAAGATGTAGACAACACGTAATAAGGATTTAAAATGGCGGAGTTTTCTATCTCCTTTTAAAAGGCACTTAGAAAGCTGCGCAGTGCGACCATTCTCCGTATAGTAAAAGAAAATCAAAGTATGTGAATATTAGATAATAGCGATAAACTTGTAAAGTCTAAAGAAAATGCTAAAGATAACAATTCCGTTGTGACACAAAATACTGATGAATGACTCAACACTAAAGTTGACAACAAATTAGATAGCGGCATAAAAGAAAACTCGAAAGAAAACATTGAAGTAAAGAATCCGAAAATTAATATTTGCATAAATCCTTTTTATAGGATAAACACTTGACAATGAACGATTACAATAAAACAGCAACCGACGCTCAGAAAATTAAAAAAACATATATTACATATGCAGTAACAAGCAAAAAATTTAAAAAATATTGTAAGCAAAAAGAAGAGACTAAGAAACAGAATGCCCAGAAAGTGGAAAATGGAAAACTACAGAGAACTTTAAACAAATTAAAAAAGAGAAATTAAAAAAGAATAATGAAACAAATAAAAAGGAAATGTATCAACAAAAGCAAACAATATTTTTAGTAGAAGAAAGCAGACCAAAACTATTAGTAAAACTAGGAAGAATAAGGCAGTGATTGGTAAAAGAGATAAAAAAAAATTGACGGTGATGAATTACCTCTAGCAAACCCGCAAGATAAATATAACGTTGGTGATTATGTCATTGTATGTTATTAAAAAAAGCAGTATCCAGGCGTAATTAAAAAGTATGACAACCGAAGTGAGTTCGAGGTGAGTGTTATGGAGAGGCGACTCGACAGACTATGGAAATGGCCGATAAGAGGGAAAGCCCACTCACGCGACACGTTGCGCGCGACCTGCCGCATGCGATTTTTTAGGTGCGATTTTTAACAGACGACAAGCAGCGACACAGACGTTCAATATCAAAATAGAGGTGGAAGAAGTAGTAACGGTGTTGTTTTATTCTGTTCTTCAGCGAAAAAAATTGAAACGAAGTAGGTACTGGGTTCATCCATTATTTATAGACCCTTATGTAAAAGGCGCATTTAATTTATTATACAGGATGGCTCACGCTCAACGGGACGGAGCTTTATGGGAAAACGACCAAAGATATAAAAAATTCGTTTGAGAGGAATACGTAGGTTAAAGACGGCTACAATTAAAAATTTGTAAGATGTATGTCCCACATAAGAGAAAATATACAAAGTTATATTATTTTTAATGGAATACCCTGTTTTTTATTTTAGAATTAAAAACTACATCAAAAATAATGTCAGTTAACTAAAGGTTCCCTATTACTATTATTACTATTATTATTAGTTTTCGATTTATTTGAATTTTTAAAGAAAAAAGTCTCCCAGAAATTAATTGTTTACTCTTGTTTGAATAATTTTTAATGAACTAATTTTTTTTTCTTATGTGGGACATCCTGTATACATCTAACAAGTTTTAAATTGTAGCAGTCTGTAACCTACGTATTCCTCCCAAACGAATTTTTATATCTTTGGTCGTTTTCACATAAAGCTCCGTCCCGTTGAGCGTGAGCCACCCTGTATAAGGATTTACGTCAACACGAAGATTCCCGAACAAATATTTTCGTCGCTATTTTATTTCAATTAACTGTTTAATATTTGAGGTTGGTCTTGAATATCGGATATAAATTCATCTATATCAATACAACTGTCGGACATTTTTTCACTGGAACTGTCGAAAAGTTAACAGGAAACTCCAACTCTCAACTGGCGTTTCGCACGCGACTTGACGTTTGTAAGAGTGATGCTCCATATGTATCCATGATAACGCTGGCCGCGTGCGGCAGAAAAATCGCGGGTTTGTCATTTCCAATTTTCAGCCGCGTGCGACCACCCGACAGAACCGCGTTAATGGGCTTTGAGTCATTTGAAAACATCTAAAGTTATGCCGCGCGCGATGCTTCGCGATCAGTCGCGCGCGACGTGTCGCGTGAGTGGGCTTTTCCTCTTATACCTGATTAGATTTGGAACCCTGAAAAAGATATCGTGAAGAAAATAGAACAAACTATACCAGTCAATTCTCGAAAGCTTTTTTTTAAAGTGGCAGAACTTCAATAAGAAGATGTTTTTAATAAAAAAAGTTTTTAAACATACCTACCAATTTTTTAAAACTATTTAGAATAAGTTTAATTTTACATTTTTAGTTTCATATTTTGACTTTTCAGGCGAACAATTATTTATGTTAATTTACTCATTATTTGTACAATAAAATGCCTTATAGTTCACAGAAGTGTGTTTATTTATTGGAATTATAAAATTTCTTTACTAGATTTCCTGTTTCTTTACTGGGCATTGTTTAAATATAAAACTTGTTTAAAAATCAATCTGTTGTCCTATTTGTTTTACAACTAGTTATATTAAAGGTAAGTACATCAGGCTAGATCATCTAATAAAAAGAAAAAAAAATATTTTTATTTAAATGCTATAAATAATTACAGTAAAAATAATAAACCGCTTAACTGTTTCTTCATTGGTGCTTTCACCCTAGTAATGCTACATAAATGAAACTATAAAAAAAAGGGAGATGATACATTTTGTTTCATGACTATTTGTTATACACTTTATTCCTATTTTCAGAATTTTTCGGTCATCATCTTTTGTTATTTCAAAGAAATATAAAAAATTATTTCACTTACCAGGGGAGGATCGGCAAACAGCTATGAGCAAAAACAATAAAACAGTGATCTTCATTTTCGCAATTAGCTGCAGAAAAACAATAACTTACCTTTTTATACAATGTGCTAAATATCTGACTTTATCTATGGTAATCTTTAAAATAGATAGAGAATATTATTCACAGTACAATTATTTATCTTATTGTGATATTTATCATTTGTTACATTATAAACGTTAACGCATTAAGTGTTGATATTACACGGAAAAAAATGTGACTAGAAAATTTTACTATAATGTTGTAGTAGTAGACTTGTAGAAAAATAGTTAACTTTTTGTAAAAAATTTTACTACAATTTATAGTTAAAAACTATTCATTATTGTAGCAATTGAATTGTCGAATAAAATGCTACAACAATAGGAAAGAAGACCACAATGTTTGGTATATTTTACTATTGTTTGCAGAAGTAGAAATTTATTACAATTATCGTAATTACTACTACTTACTTCTGTAAAAATTTGTACAAATATTAATAATTATCTCTACAAAAAATAGTAATTTTCTCTACAAAAAATAGTAACACTTTACATCCCTTCTTATAAAAAAATTCAATTTTCTTCAAAAATATTTTATAATATTGTAGAAATTCTAAGTCATGTGAATAAAACAGAATTCTGCTATTGGCCAACGTTTTCTGATGTCGACCATAAATGGTCAGACAGCAGTAGCCGTTCACAAAACAAAGCATGGTACATATACAACACATTATTATATTATAAGCACCGATGCGTTTGAGAAAAGTTTAATAATAACTTCTATTAGTGGTAAGTACATTTATTATTGTTTCTAAATAATTTACCTTTAGATAACTAATTTAAATAACCTTAGTAGATTATTTTAAAAAATATAGTTGTGGCCAACGATCGAAAGTTGTGCCAAGTTCAATGATGTTTTTTTGTCTTAGTTGTGACATACCTACTATCTCAGTTTTGTTAGTTATCTGACGTAGTCATTTAATATCCCAATCAGTGTAAAGGTAATAAATATCCCCGTTGTAAGGGTATGAACAGTTCAATAAGTAATTTTTATTTAATTTTTCAGGTGCAGGTGCAAAAAAGCCAACTGAGACTGAGGAAGCTATTATTACTGTTATTTATTACATAATGTAATTAGGACTTTGTATCTTTTATATTAAAATAATACATTTTGAATATTTTATTAGGGAACATTTTTTTTAGGTTATAATTATAATAATTATGGAATACTACTACAAATTTTATTAAAAATTACTACAATTTGTATGAATTTTTACTATTTATTGTGTAAAATTTTCGTATTAATTTTCATGAAACGCAATACATTTTTAATATAAATTCATACAATAAATAGCAAAAATTATAACAATTTGTAGAACAATTCTTATGATGCATTTGGATATTTTTACTACATATTGTAGATAATAACTCTACAATATATTCTCTACAAATATTTGGAAATTTTTACTACAAATTGTCCCTGTCCCTATATGTACTATTTATTGTAGAGAAAAAATGTATAATTGTAGAAATTTGTTCTACAATTTTTTTTCCGTGTATGTATATAAGTAATAATTTATGTTCTAAACAATTTATGAAATAAGGCGGTATATATTATACAGCGTGAATCAAAAGTTGATACTTGTTATGCGTATAGAAATCATTAATATAAACAAGTTAGTCAAATAACTTTAAAATAAAAACTTAAAAAAAAGAAACGTACACTAATTTATATCATATGTATCCAATATGATCCTGTCTCTCACCTAAGTAACATGCAAGTCATTGTAAAAACCATTTACAATATTGAACTCTGCGGGGAAAATATTTAAGTTATAGTGCTTGAACACGTTGCGAGTATTAAAGATATAAAACTTCTTATTCCGCAACGTTCATTATACTTTTCTTTGACTTACTTTCTCCTGATCTGCATTTATCCGCGTACCTGTTGTTGGATCTCACTTGATAATGTTTAAAATGTGTTCTTCTTAATGCACATCATTTTTAATTTCCTAAACTAAGTAATTTAAATTCAATAATTGATATAAACATGCAATTTAAATCACACGTGACTGAATTACAATAACTTGTAGCAGTGGCGGCTTGTAGTAATTTAAAATGGGTGTTCACTTTTTCCAATAATTTTATCATTTGTAACTTCGGTTCAAAACTTTGTACGAGAGCTAATTTCGCTGTTTTTTTTTATTTGAGTTCGTATTAAGTGTAGTTATTGATACACGTACTTTCAATTTATTAATGCAACAGTTCTTAATTTAACATAGTTTTTAAATGTGCACAAATAAAATAAACTTAGTTTTATTAAAAGAGTTTCATAGTAAAGAAATGACGGAAGACGAAATGACAGTTTGTTTGATTTTGTACAGTGTTGCCAGAATATGTTTTTGTTATGTACCAGATTTATCTAAAAAATGTACTAGATTCCTTAAATGTATTAGATTTTTCGAATTCTATTTGCAGTGACATATAATTCATTAAAGATGAAATATTACACGTGAACACTGATGCACGTAGAATGTACTACATCTAGAACAATTGTGAATTCTACTAGACTGGCAACACTGGTTTGTCAACCTTGTTTGTCAGCGGCGCGCCAATGTTTTACTTTGCAGTTTTAAGGATCTGTTGGCGTATTGTCTTCTCTTTTTAGCTATATGCATTTGCCAAATCGTCTCACTCGTGTTAGACTCATTTATCATAATGCGCCACAGACACAGTTTACTCAGGTACACTGTGCCACAGAGACACGATAAGCCAGAGGGCAATGATGTACCAAAAAATATAGATTAACACGTATGAAAATAAAAATATTAAAATAAAATTTATATTTTTGTTATTTATGTAATTTTAAAATAATGTGTTTTTATGAAATTTAACTGGGTGTTCACTGCACAAATGAACCAATGGAGAAACCGCCCCTGACTGGTAGACAATGAAATAAATCATAAGCAGACTCATAATTTTTCTTCACTTTTAATATACAAATAAAGGACCAGATTGGGGTTTTTAATTCTGTAGTCCTACTCAAAAGTCCCGCATGGTATATTGAACGACTATACTTATACTTATAAAATGTTTATACCTCAAATGTTTAATTCGATTATTGTTTGAGATCTTTAAGTGTTTACAAAAAAAAATGTTACGTATTCTAGCTGACAAAGTAACAGCTATCTTAATAACTGGAGAAAGGAAAAACAATATCGAGGACTTATTTGAGGAAGACTCTTTATACGATTGAAAAATCTGATGTGTCAAAGTCATGACTTTTCTGTCAATTATATTATTCAGTCCTTTTAAGAGCAATTACTTAAATAGTTTTAATACCACAGGTAGAAGCGAGATTGGCATATATGATGTTATTTCATTATTTAGTTTTCCCAGTTTAAGTATCAATCATTGACAGTTTTCCTTAGTAGTGGAACATATTGAAGTCCAAATGCTGCTATTATATTGGTCAGTTAAATTAAACCTTTTCATGGTAATTTCTCTTTATTTCTCGAACCCGGGAGGTTTTTCACATTAATATTTTTATAACCCTTTTTACTTATATAGGACTAATTAATATTATTTCTTCTATATCACTTTCTCTTCGTTATCCATGTCTTTAAGTTTTTCTCGGTTCGGGTAAAAGATGTATCTAAATAGTTAACAAAATCATCAACTTTTTGTTTGCAACCTTTTGCAGCCCTCCCATTTTCTATTCGTATTGGTATGTGTTAGATTGGTTTGTGTATATTTTATGACAGCTTTCCATAATAAGCAATCAGTGATTTAATCATTTATTTTTTAGTTTTTTCAGGTATTTGTTGAGTGACTCATTTTTAATTTTTTCTATCTGTCTTCGTAGATTTTGTAAGTCTATTTAATTTGTTTCTGTTCTCATTTTTGCCACAACTTTCGAGCCTTTCTTTTGTTTTGTATTAAATCCCTTATTTCTTTGACGACATAAATACCAACAGTTTTCCTTTCCAATAATGGTGTATTATTCGATGCAGCTTTTTGTATTGTTACGCAGGTTTTTGGTATCTCAATTTATTATTAATTCAACTTTTACAATAACTCAATTCAACTGATACAATAATTTCTACTAATAACATTAACATGTAACATCTATCATAAAACTGAAAACTGACGTCAGGAACATACTTATATAGCTTGCTTGACCCTTTTCGAACCTTCGCGAACTGACGTCTAGAATATTCTTGACGGGTAATGACATTTATGGACTATTCTATCTTCTTTTACTTGTACTTTAACTTATTACGACCGTAGGGCGATAAGTAAAATTTCACTTCTTTTTCTATCTGTACGTTTCCTATAATAGCCACATGCTGCGTAACATTGCTCCCTCCTCTCTAATTATTTGCTCAGAATAACTTGACTACTGGGACCTAGTTGGAACTAATGGAGAGGATCTGGACCATGGAATGTAGCTATTTTCCCAATGTGAACTACGTTGAATTTACTTCCCGCTGACAGTTGAATGTGGCAGATCAGGTCGTTGATTTTTCTTAAGGACGGAGTAGCAGCCTTCCCAGTTCCGCTGCGATTTCTGACAAAGCTCTCCTCGCTGCTTGGGATTGCACAGCCATACCTTGTCGCCCCTCTAAAAATGTGTATCTATGGCACGCATGTCGATTCTAGCTTCTGCTTTATCGGTGTTGGCTTTCAGTCATTCCCGAGCAAATCCATAGACCTTTGTTCTGCCGTTGCATACATCACATTTTTTATACCAATCCGCTACATCCCGTCGGCAATTGAACTAATAAAATCTTTTTCGAACTCGTGCCAGTATCAAAGTGTCTTCCTGAACGGCTACTATGAAGCTCCTCCAATACTTTTCTCACCTGTGACCTCTACAGTATCACTTGGCAGACTACATGTACTCCATCGGGGCTCTCCCATTTCCGGTGCAATAGGCCATCGTGAAGATACAGGGAATCCCACTCAGTCCAGTAGCATTTTATAGTTCTACTGTATTTGGCTCTCTTGCCAAGTAGGTGTGACTTTATTTTTAAACCATTCTCGGACAACCTTTAAGTCCTTGTATTTCTTCTGTCCCTTTCTCAGACTTTCAAGGGTGATTTCTTCTTCGACACCCTCCGGCTTGATAGTGGTTGCCCGAAGAGTAACTTTATC